AAAATTTGTAGTTTTTTTTTTGTAATTTTAAGGTTAGATTGAAAGTAAAGGCGCGAAATTGTTGTTGAAGTAATGTATGTATATAAAAGTAAGAGAAAAAATGAAGAGAAGAGTAATTGTAGGAGTAAAAAAAGTAGTGTTAGGAAAATGTATGTTAAAATAAAAAGTATTAATGATAATTAAAGTTATTAATATAGTATTAAATTATTAAAAATATAAAAAGTTAAAAAAAAAGAAAAATGCAATCAAAATATGTAAAATAAAAGTTTTTTAAATTTAAATTAATAATAAAAAGTTCTAAATAAAAAAAGCTTAAATTAGGTAAAAGGCAATAAAATTAAAATAAAATATCTGAATGTAAAAGTGAATTAATTTTAAAAGTTGTGTATAAATTAAAAATATAATAAATTAATAATAAACAAGGTCGAGCATTTGAAAAATAACGCGATTTCGTTCATAAGCACCTTAGCGATTACGATAATTTCACTAAAGTTTGTTAAGCGGTTCGGAAATATCGTTTTAGATAAAAATTTTGTAATAAAATGGAGAAGAATGGGGTATAGGTATTTATTAATTATAATTACATATTATTATTACTTTTTTAATATTTTTTTATTTTTATTCTCTAGAATTGATCCTGATTTAAATTTTTGCTGGAAGATCTAAAACAAATTTCTATTAAAGGCACTTTTTTGGTGGTTTTCAATAACTACATACATGTATGTATTTTGTTTGGGACCATTTTGCACATAATAGGGGTAAAGTATTAAAATTTTTAACCCATTTCAAAATATAATATTAAACAATAATTTAGTATTAACCAAGAAGAAAAATTCATACAATCTAGATAATAGTTGTAGAAGAATATTAAAATTTTAACTAAAATTATTTAGTTATTTTTCCATAAATAAAATATTTTCATTCTTAAATATTCTGAATTCTTTTACAATGAAATGTAAAACTAATTTTTAATGTCAAATTTTTACCAAAAACTAAAAAAAAATAGTATTGCTTTTTTCCTTATAAATGCACCTTAAAACTTCAGAACCGTTTCAAGGTATAACACTTTAACTTTGCAGGACATACATAGTTTTAAAATCCCCAAAAAACTATTCTAATGGTGGGGGGGGGATGTGTAGTAGTTTTGTGCAAAATTGTTAACTTAATTCTTCCAAATATTTTTATAACAAAGCCTAAAAGTATGCTTCAAAATAAATAAATTTATAAAAATTCTATATGTATTAGGGGGAGTTGTTTTTATAAATGACAAATAATAGAAAAGTTTCCTACTTAAGTAAAACATTTAATTTTTATAACAATTTCCTCAAACTTTGTTTCATGAAGTCTGGTTATTGGAAAGCTGGATCCAACGATAAAAAGGTACTTTTTTGTATTTCCATATTTCTTCTAAAGTCATCATAAATTTGGTGTTAAATTAAAAGGTCTTAAGAAATTTTTGCGAATAAGACTAAAATTTGCTGATTTTTTACAAAAACTTTTGATTTTTTTTTAAATTTATATGAATTAATATTAAAGTTAATAATACAAATATGAGCAGAATAATCAGTAAAATATTGTAATGAAATATAATTTTTTCGAATTTTGGAAATTTTCCTTAGTTTGAATTTTAAGTAAAATTTACAATAATAATAGCAATAATGAATTTATTTGAGGACAGAAGTTAAAATAAAAATTTTATTGAAAAAAAGTCGAAGTTGAACATTTTCGTCTTTTCTTTAGTGAAATCAATTGTTTGTATTCATTTAACAAAGTAAACTTTAAGAAATTATTTCAATATCGCTTAGTTTTCAAAAAAAATTAATAAAATTTAAACTAAAATAATTTTTAAAAATTTAGAAAATTATTACTTAGAAATTTAATTATTATGTCGTTTCCTTTTGTGGATAAAATTTTGCTTTTTTTTGCTCTCTTTAACGAAAAATTCTTCTAATGATAATAAAAGTGTTCAAAATAAAGAACTATTTAAAAACTATAAAATAAATAAGGAAGAAAGAAAATAAATATCGAAAATATTGAACAAATTGGGCAGAATAAAAGCAAAATTTTTTCTAGAAATGAAGGCAGCATAAGAAATTACAAATACAAATTTAAACAAAATTTTTTTCTAAATCAAAAAGTTTTGTGATAAATCTGAAAAATTAGTATAGATTTAGACCTAGTACTGAATGTTTATTTATTATTCTATAGAAATTGGTTCTTTAAAAGAAATTCGAAAAAATCTTATAAAAAAATTGTTTGTCCTTTGATCCAGCTCAGCAAATGTTAGCTTTAGGACACATATTTTGAGAAATCATATGGTTTTAGTAGGGAAAACAATTCCTTTATGGCTCGCCTAATACAAAGGCTTTTTTAAAATAGACGTCAAAATCGTAAAACTACCAAAAAAGTGATTGAAAACCAATAAAAAGAATTAAATTTTATATAATTGAAGATTACATTACAAAATATCCCATTCTCTTCTTCTATTTAGTAAATTATAATTATATTCTAAATAATATCGGTTGCGGATATCGGAATAAATGCTACCGTTCGATTTCGTTTCCGGAATACGAGGCAATAAGTGTAATTTTGTTATCGAAACGCAAGTTAAAATGTTCTTAATATTCACGAGCGGTTTGCGGTAACGGTAACCAACCTTGTATAACAAATTTAATAATATAAAAATATAATAAAATAATATAATATCTGCAAAGTTCCAGATCATAAGGTAAGTTTTTGTAAATTTAACTTTGATATACTATATTTTTCTATTTTGTTTTGAATGTTGATTTACACTATTTTAAAGATTTCAACTGATTTTCGTAAAGGACCATTATCAGTTAGAAACGAATTGCATTTTTTAGAAAATAGATGATATGAATAATATGAATCAATTTGAGATTTTTCAGAAAGTTTCTTTTATATCGATAGTTATAAACCGTTTTTGCTAATTTTCAAAAGCAAAAATTTGGACCCCGAAGAAACATGTAATCTTGATTTTAATTATTTTACAGATTTTAATTTATCAGTTAGGAAAGAATTACATTTGCATTTTTTAGAGTATACAATGATTAATGACCGACACATTGTGATTTAATATGTTCGCAAAATAATATTGTTGAAATTAGATAAGAACTGACAAATTTATAAACTTCTCTAGAAGGTGAAGGGTATAATAAAGGCAACTTGTATACATTAGGAACTTAAATACGTAAATGTTTACGAAAACTTATTTTTAATACTTTTGAAAATTCCCGTTTTGAAAAATAAACACCCTTTTCTAGTTGATTATTAAATAAAAACTACAATTATGTTCTATTTTATTTATTTTTTTTGTAATAATTTTTATTTAAATTTAATTTTTCTTTAGTCTCTTCTGTTGTTCTTTTTTTTTTGTTGTTTTATTTTTGTTTTATATTTCAATTTTTCATTTTTATGTATTTTGCAAATTTTATTCCTGTGTTAATTTGTTTTTGTATTTATTTACTATTGGTATTTTTATATTTATTTATATTTACACAAAGTTGTATATATTTTGTTTTAATATTTTATTTAAATATTAATATTTATAAATTTATTTTGTTAAAACTAGATGCCTGTTTATTGAATCGTTTTTAACACTGTGGTTTCATAAAGATTTTTGTTTCAATAAATGGTTTTGCTTTTTTTTTCCATTTCACGTTTAGAATCATTTTCTGCATTATAAAATATAATTTAATTTCAAATAGATGATCAACATATTATTTTTTAATATTAATTTAATTGTATTTTGTTTTATATATTTATATAGTTTAATATATGTATGTATATATGCAATTTTTGTTTTAAAGAGAGAAAGTTATAGATAAATAGTTAAAGATTTAGATAGTTTGAGAGAAAGAGAGAGAGAGAAAAAGAGATTTCTATGAATTACATTTATGATAAAAATCAACCAATTTTTCTTCTGCTTCTGCTATACTATTATTAATTAAAATTATTTTATTTAATGTTTTCTTAATGTTCTTGTTTTATTTCTATTTAATAGTAAAACATTTATTTTACATTAAATGTAAATAAGTAATTTTTTAAAAAAATTACATATATTTTCATTTTATAATGAAATGATTTGTTTGCATTTATTTTATATACTTCTTAAATATAAAATTTCTTTCTATTTTAATAGAAATCTTAATGGGTTTTAACATGTTTTGTTTTAAATTTTAATTATTTAACTTAATATTTAATAAATAATAATAAAAGCATTAATCAATAGTTAATAGATTCTTATTTTTTCCCTCAAAGTAATAATTTTATACACATTTATAATTACGGCGAGATAAATAGGAGGGAGGGGGGGGGAGGGGAGAGAGATAAATCAGTTTTATATATAATTAATATTTTAATATTACAAAAAAATAATAAACTAAACAAAACAATAAAACAATTTTCTCTACCACAAAACAATTATAAAACTATTTACTAATTATTACTTAAAACTTATATATATATTTTTTTTTCATTATTTTAAGCCAAAAGTTATTTGATTTTAATTTATAAACTTAAAATCAAGATTTTCCATTTAAAACTTGTGTGTGTGTGTGTTTTTTAGCTTTTATAATGTTTAATTTTTCAAGAGTATTGCTTTTCTTTTTCATTTAATGCATTTTTCAACAAGTTTTATTTAAAAATTGTTTAGTTTTTTATTACATATTTTTATTATTTACTATGGATTTTATTTTTTTCTTTTGGAACATTTTCTTTATTTTTTGATTAACTTTTTGTTAATAATTTTTAATAAATTTTATTATTTGTTGTGTTTAGTTAATTCTTAGGATTAATTAATAAACGATAAATTAACTATAAGGCAAAATTATTTAGGAAGTAAAGATATACATATTGATTTTCTTCATATTTTTTTAATATAACATATATATTTTTTATAAATTATTAACAGAAAATTAGTTAAATATGGAGTTTAATTATTTAAAGAAATTAGTGCTTTTATAGTTTTTTATCTTTGGTATTTTCCAAATGTTTTTTTTTTTTTTTTGAAATTTGTAATTTGTAAGGAAATTTATGGAATTATTTTAAAGAGATTCATGTTTTAAGTTTTTTAAATTTCAAAATAATTTTCATGGTAAAGCAGTAAAAGGCTTCATATTGTTCAGCATCAGGCTATTTTACATGAACCTTCAAGATTTCAAGGAAATTTTTAAACTAAATTTTGAAATTAAAACAATCTAAATTGGGCCTAACACGAATGTTGGTATGTTTAGTTCCGAATTGGATCCACCGATACTAAGTACTGCCAAATATAAATGAGATTTACGACCAAATTGATATTGATTAATCAGTAAATTGAGTCTTTTTTGGCACCTTTTGATGATGATTAAAACCTGAAATTGATCATTCCTGGTGTTTAAAATATGATAGTTTTCAAACTTATTTTTTGATCATATTTCAAGCAGTCGGAAGATCAAAAACTGTTTTCTGCGTTATTGTATTTGTTTGTAACAGTCATAAAAATTGCATAGAAAAGACTAAAAACTACTAAAAATTGATTCGAAAAAGTCTCTAAAACGACCAGTAATTCGACAGAAAAATTACACAAAAAAGTTTCAAAAATGAATCGGAACTGATCAGAAGAAGAAGTACTCATAATAGACTCTTTTAGAAGAGTTGCGGATAGTGTACCATTTTCTCCCGAAGAAAGTAACATTTATGATCAGAAAGATGTTGCATATATGTACGTTTTAATCGTACAGAAGAATCATAAATGACTCGAATTTGATAAAAAAGTTCAAAAAATGCTAGCTAGAAATATATTAAAACGGTCTTTCAAATATCGTAAACAAATTTAAGAAAATACTTCAATATATTGTGAAAATTGTAAATATCACAATAGAAAATATATTTATATTTGAAAGTACAGTGGAACAATAATATAATTTAATTATAAAATTTTGTTTTTTTTTTCTGAAAATTAATAAAAAATTCCAAATGACTGCTTATGTATCAAATTATACATTTGTAAGTTATTAGTGAACAACTTAAACAAAAGGTAGATGGTATGAAGTAGACATTGAAAAGCAAGTTCTTTTTAGTACCAAGTTAGTACAAGTCATTACCAAGTTTTACCTAGGTCATTCCAGAAAGAAAGTTTATGCCCTGTCCTCGTTCAACAGGTTCTGTGGAACCATTAAGGATTCGATACTAGTTCTATGAAACCAGTTTTTTTTTTATTTTAATCTCGAAACTAGTTCTAGAGAAGTTTTAGAGAACATATTTAGCTTTTCAAGAACAGCTCTGGTACTTGTAATTTTGACCATAAATTTTTGTTCAAATTTGGTAAGATTTGGAATGAATTCTGAAATTCCACCGTGAAACTAGATATTTTATAGTTTTCAATACTTCCTGTATATTCGTTGTTCAATTTCGTAGAGATCCATTGCATACATAAATATATATGAAAATAAATTTATTTCATTTTTAATTGATCTCATATTTTTCTAATTTTCTCAACTGATTCCAAAAAAAAAATAAAAAATATTTTTGAACTAATATGCGTTTCAATTAGAACTACTAGTGACAAAAGACTAGTTGCGGAAAAACTCCTTAGATATACTTTAGAATCACAACAATGGAACAGATAACGAATTCTAGAATCGACATCACTAGTTCCAGGGTTGCTATTCATGAATCTGAGAAGGCTCTGTATGTACTACTTGTTAAATTAGTTTTTTATAACAAAATTTGTTTATAATAAATGTTTTCGAGCATAATTATTCCAACGTATTATAGAACGATTCTGAAACTAGATCATTCATAAATGAATTGTATTTGAAATTAACAACCTCGAAACCTTTAGAAAACAAGAAAAGTTCTGTCAGTTCAGATACAGTTCTTTGAGGCTATATATTTCATTTTCAATACAAATCTGATTTTAAGATGAATTCTACGTTTTTTATAGTTTATCCTTGCATTCAGATTGAAATACTGAATTCAATGTATAGCTAATTACAAAAAAATCTGAACAAAATTAAATATATAAAACGTTTACATTAAATCCAATTGTTTATAGGAGAATTTTTACATAATCAAATCTACAACAAAGTTTTTTTTTTTACAAAACATTCAACACAACCAGTTCAATACGAAAATCACAATTTAAAAAACTTTTCAAATATATAACATGATTTGAAATTTTAAACAAAGACTTTAAACAGAATTTTTCAAATATAAACCAGCATTTATAGATCTTTTATAAATTTTTTGTTTATTAAAGTATTATTAAATGTATGTATAAATATTTATAAAAAAAGTGTAATAATTTCTTTTATTTTTAATAAAAAAATTTAACAAAATTATAAATAGGAGAAAAAAAAATATATAATAAGTGTAAGTGGGAAAATGGTAACTATAATTTAATATTTTATTTATTAATAATAATTTTTTTGTTTTATGTTTAATATTTAACATGATTTTTTTTATTATAATTATGATTTTTCTTTTCTTATTTTCTTCTATTGTAAATATCAAAAATAAGAAAATTATAAATTTTTTATATAAAAAAAAAAGTTTTTTATAAAAACTGTTTTTTTTTAATTTCTTCTATTTTTACACTCTTTTCTCACCTGTGGTTAAAAAAAGTTTTGTTGGCGTTAAAGGTGTTGTAGTAGTTGTCGAAGAACAGGAGGGAGGAAAAGTTGGAGTAGTAGTATTTGTTGTTGTTGTTGTGTTAGTAGCATAAATATTAAATTTTTCTAAATTCTTATGATATTGTTTTATATTTATTTTATCGAACTATATTACCGTACCACCAGGTGGCGCTGTTTGTGTTGGCGATAAATGTTGGGGAACGTTCTAGATAAAATTAAAGAAAAATAATTCGGTTTTTATTAAGGAAATTAATTTTCTTAAAGCATAATTATTATTGTATTTGGCGTTGAGGCCAATGATTTCTCTTTGATCTGTTTCTGTGAAAGCGTTATGAAGTCAAAACTCTTTCATAAATTTTGTTCGAATCTGTCATGAAAGTTCTATGAAAGATTGAAGGTTATAACCTTTTTCTACTCTGAAAATACATTTTTGAATTCAAAATTGCACTAAATTTTCAGTAAAAATTACATTTTGAAAGCACAGTAGCTCAAGAAAGATGTATTTTTAATAAAAAAACATTACATGTTCACAAAATTTTCCGATATTCAATCTAAAAAATCATATCAACTACTCACCGTAGCATAACCCGGCCTGGCCCATGTGTAAATAAAACCATCTTGACATGCCGTTAAAAAGCAATCCTCTCGAAATATTAAAGCACTTAAACGTTCATGAGCGATCTTCTTACACACCAACGGCTCAAGCAGTGGACACTCATCGAAACGTGGACACGCCGATGTGCCAATTAGTTTTAATGGATCATATGATGGTATGATTGAATTCGTAGTCGATGAGGGTGAACAGTTCGATAAATTATTTATTAAGGACTGATGATGATGATGATGTTGCGATGATGATTTGCCCAATTTTAAAGAGCCAAAACTATGAGATGATGTCGATGAGTTGGCATTCGTTTCGATTTGTGTCGAATTGGCCATGTGCTGATGATTCATAGTTGAATTGTGATGATTATAGGATTTGAGTAGACTTAGGGTGCGACGATTTTGTCGGGTACTGCCACCCTCTAGATTAAGCGATTTCTTGTCCGACGAATTGAGGAATGAAAAATTACTTAATCGTTGTGTTAGCGAATTGAACGCTGATATACCAGAATCTGAGGATTTGCTACTATTGGATGTTTTGCTGTTGTAACCCGATGATGTGGAGAATGTATTTACATGATTGGCGGTGGTGTTGCCATCAATCGAATCGGATTTGGTGGCTGTAATACAGTTGGGAAATTTTATAGTTCCCCCCGTAGTGGAGGCATTAGCAAGGGATTTTGAGTTTGTTTTATTGGCTGTTGTTGCAGTCGCTGCCAGTAGGTCATCTGGCGGTGTATTGGCATTTGATGATTGTGAGGATATTGTACAGTTGGCTGTTGAAAACTTACTAGAACTACTATTACTATTTTGTTCTCCTGACGTTTGTGGTGTTGTGGTTGCGGTTGTCATTTCTTTGGTTGGACTACTACAGTGTTGGGAAAAACTATTAGCATTATTATTGGGATGGCCAATGGCCACGGGTCGTATAACCTTGACGCCATCTGCATCAATGCCACCATTCATAAAACTGGTATCATTCATATTACAGCTATTTACTCTTTGCCTAAGGCTTAAGGGGTGCCTTAGTATATCCTCGGTTATATCCCATAGACAAATTTGCGTATCCTGGCTTACCGAACCCAAACGATAACTTATGGCCAATTTGTCGGGAGCCAAAGATGAAGCTTCCGATCTAAACGAAGCTGATTGTGGTCGCTGCCTTGAATGTATGGGCGTAGAGTTCTTATCGTGACCACTCACTGCATAGGAATCAAAACCATTTGCAGTTGTACCATCACCGCCATAACGTGATGCACCATATTCCATTATTTGATTTTCATCATCTGAAAAATCACCACCATCCCATGAGGTATACGATGTGGTATAGGGATCAAATGCCACCACTGAAACCCACGATCTATGACCCTGACCTCGAGCCACTACTCGTCGCTCATGAAAAGACCACACTGTTACCAGATCATCTTCACCGCCCACCACAATATACTTGCCATCCGGAGACCAGCACACACATAGAAAACCACCAAAATAGGAACGCGCTATACCCAACAATTCCATGGTATCATAATGAAACACTCGTAAAAAACCATCCTGTGATACTATTGCTAAATTTGAACCGCATGGTGAGAAACAAAATTCGTTTATACAACAATTTTCGGTATTAAAGACCCATTTATACAAAGGATTTCGACTCGATTTCGACTTGCAGGTTAGTATTGAATAGCCTTCGCCCATTTTAAAGGGCTGATAATTAGGTGCAGTTGGTGGACATTGTAGATTCTCGTTGTACAAATAAAGGTGTCCCGAAGCATGAGAGGCCAAAAAGAGATTCGGTGAATTTGGCAGCCATTTTAAACAGGTCACTTTGGTTTTATCAATTAGACGCTGGAGGAGAAATCATAAATTGATATTTTGTCAATAAATAGATATTATATTATTTTACTTACATCTTCATTGTATAGTTTACGATATTCACGGGGTCCTGGCTGTGGTGAAACCAGCTGTATTTGACCCGTGGTAAAACCCACCAGCAGAGGAGCTCCCGTGGGTGTTGCTGTTGTAGCATTAAAATCATGACAACTAGGATTTGTTCCTTTATAGAATTTCTTATCAATAGGTTTACTCAATTCCGCACCCTGTTGAAAGAGATAAGAAGAATTTAGAACAATGTTGAAAAATGTGAAAGATATTATATATAAAAGAGGCTTTACATTTACCTCTACCGAGAATTATAATGAACATACTATTTCTTCTCTTTTTATACCCTTTTCAATTTTCTAACATATAAAATACACAATATATACATACATATATTCTGAATCCTTATAGTTAGCGGTACCCATTTTTTTATCAAAAAAATTGGCGAAAGAAATGTTATTCAAAAAAGTTTCACAAATATTTTTCTTTAATTTTTTTTTAATTTCTCACAAAAAATAAGTATTATTAACAATCCAACATCAACTTCCTACTTAAAACTATATTCCATAAACAAGAAATTCAAACATGTTTTATTCACTCGTTCATTCTTTATTTGTCTTTTTTTTTCGTGATAAGAAATGCATTAAATAAAATATAATAAAAATTAAATAAAGACAACAAAAACAAAGAAATAACAGTAAAAAAAAAAGAAGAAGTGATGACCTTAACCTAAGATAATGTCTTGCCAATGTTACCTCATTTATGCATCGATAGCTGTATTATATTCTAATAAATTATTCATAATTCAGTAGAATATCTATGTGCACTGGCAAATGAAACTTATAAAAGGCAAACGATAGCCGATAATCGTAATATTTGTGATATTACCAATCGATATAAGATGATGCCAATGAACCTAATGTAATGTAAACACATTTTCTTGAATATTTTAATATTTTCTTATAATGTTTTGGCATAAGGCTCACGTGTTCTTAGAAAAACGGTTTCTATAGAGTGAAGAATTTAGACTTCAAGATTTTTCCTTTTTTAGCCCTAATTTCTAATATATTACGCTCTAGTCAGTGGCTAGAGAAGTTAACTATATCTAAAACAATGTTTCAGGGGTTCTGAGAAGTGTTCCAGTGGGGTTTTAAATTAGTCCGATAGTTGGCGTCGGAGGATATTGAGTCAATCAGCACTTCTAATGTGGTTATAGATTCAATATGTTAGTGTGTTACAAACTTTAGCACAAATCCATAATAACCTCCCCCTCCATATATAGTGGTGTAGGGTATAAATATTTAATGTCAAGAGACTAAAGATATCTTCTAATGTTGCCTTTAGGGTTTGTTAAATTAACATTGCAAAAAATATTCTAACACCAACGACAGACTGACTCCACTAACTAACCTTGCAAAATCTTTATGAATTTATTACTCTTCTCACATTTATTCTATCATCTGCAGCGAAACAAAGTCAATGTGACAACAATCATCATACACAAACACTTCTCATTCATAAAACCTATAAAAACAAGTAAGGAATTATAGTCACGTCCGACTATGTAAAACCCTATAGTGATATAAGCTAGTTTCAGGTAATAGGGAATATTTAATACAATATTCTTTGGTAAAAGTTTTTAAAAAGCGTCGGTAGAAATGGACTCAGTTCCTAATAACTCACTTTTTAAATAGTAGAAAAGTTTGTCTTTCTATTGCCGTTTCAAAATTAAATCAGATTAAATAAATTTGAGATACAAACTTTTAAATCAAACAGCAATTTAAGATACGATTTTTGGGTATAACTACCGATTTTCGGGGTATATTAAAAATTCTAAATATGGTAGGTTGACCTACTCAACTAGATATATCTACTAAACGCATATGTTGAGTAATTTTGTATTAAACAGTTTTATAGACCCATCTTCACAAAATCTTGTTATATGATTCCTTATAGAAAGCAACTCTTTAGAAATATGTAATGTAACGTTAGGTGTGAAATTTTAACAGCGGGACCACAATGGGTCGTTCACGGGTTGGCTGCCTCATCTAACTAGGTGTAAATTAGCCACCTGCAGTTTTACAATAAGATTTATATAGATCAAATTAATAAAAGCGATTCTGATTTGAGTTTTAAGGATCTGTACCAATATGTTTATGTGTTACAAACATCAATTTAGGGGCATTAAACCCTACCCACTATAGTGGACTACCGTATAATGATAACAAATGTTGCGTAAGTTAGTGAAAATTGAATTGAAAAGACATAGAAAATATGTAGTAAAAAAAGAACCATATAGATGAATGACTGATTGAATGATAAAAGGAGGGCAAGAGAAGAGTTCATTGTGACACATTATCGTATTGTTGTTACACTTTACATTGTTATTATTATTATTATTTAGTGTTGCAAAAAGATGATTTTTGTAATTTTTCCACTGTATATGTTTACTATATTTTTTATTAATATTTTTTCGAATTAAATTGTTGTTGACAACAAAATACTATGCAAAAAAAAAAAAAAAAAACGAAAAGTTAAACAGACAACAGAAGGCCCTACATTATGATTTCTAGATGACATTCAAACATAAAAAAACTAGTGAATTTAGTTGCATGAATGGAATTTAGGAATTTTTTGTATATAAATATTTTGTGGTGATTTTTAATGTTTTAGACAGAAGAACACAAACAAGACAATGATTTACATTTAGAAATCAGCATGATAAAAGAATTCTTTAAACAAATTTTAAGGTTTTCCATTAAAAATGTTTCTGCAGTGGTTAAGAAATTTAAGTTCAAAGTTGAACTTTAAATTTTTTTAGAATATAGTATAGTTTCAGATCGCGTTAATCCTTTTACAATAATCTACTGCATTGAAAGGTCTATTATAATCTTTAGATTAGTTATTAATTTGCTTTTCAGGACCTGGTTATAAACATAACCTCTCTGCTATACTTTGACTACTTCCTCTTATTGCTGCAAATATTAAGTAAAGAATACTATACGATTTAAATTCTATTAAATAAAACATTTTTCATGTTAGGCAAAAATTATATCATATCAAATGATATCTTTTGCCAGAAGTCCTTTACACATTTCGAGCAATGAATCTATCACATACATATCAAATAGTTTTCCACATTCATACGTTTACATCATGTTGATAATGATGACTACTGAAATATCAACGATAATAAAAATTTACTATTATTCATTGCTTTAGCACAGTCGTCATTGTCTGTTTTAATTTGAACTGAAATGTGTTTAAAAGGTAAAAAAAAGGAAATGTGTGTGATGTTCATTTATTTTCTCTCGTTTTTTTTACTATTTTTTTTTTTAGGTTATTGGTTGACATACTGACATTTTCCGGTATACATTTTTAACAGTTTTATTAATTTTAAGTGTTTTGTTCTTTGATACTTTAAAGTAATTTTATTTATTATTTGTGTGGAAGTTTTTATGAATACTTTTTTTTTTTTTTTAAATGAACGCTTTAATGTTATTTAAAGGAAAAGTGTTAATAAACATGATATATTTCATTTGACAGGATGTAGATTATTTTTAATTAAAAATGAAATATGAACTTTTTAATTAAAATTTTAAATGTTCATATAAGTTATTTAATTCTAATGAGTACATTTAAAGCGAATTTCTGAAGAAGTCCCGGCTTACGTCAAGACTAAACTAAAATATTCAGGGAATATCGGTTATTTAATGATAAATTGTATTACAATATCAGATAATTTATTAATGTAAGATTTTAAATGATATTTAAAGACTTTGCTCAGAGAATTAAACTCTATATATTTTTCAAAAAATAATATGTTCCCAAAAAACTTTTGATAAAGTTATTCTATGAAATTCAATCCTCCTTATCTTTAATATTCTTAAATTCTTTTAAAAATAAATTCCTACCGCTTAGTCAATACCAAAAATCTTAATTATATTAATTTCTTACGACTTCAATTTTAAATTTCCAAAACATTGCAAATTTATTGCTTCTATCTCGATTACAAAAAAATTCAGTTATTTTCCTTAACTTCAAGAAACCCCCCACCCTAAAAAACCCCCTTTTCCAATCATTTAAGAATAAATATCAATCTTGCATTTTTCATATGAATGTATATTGGAACACAAACGTCCATACATATAACAAGTAAGAAATTATAGTCGGGCGTGGCCGACCATATGATACCCTACACCAGTTATGAATATTAAATGTGATTTATTTTTCATAATAAAGCATTTATCTTCAATATTCCCTTGTTCCGATACATTTAAGCAATTTATGGATGAAAAACTAATTTTCTGAAAGAGGCTTTATATGGGGGCTAGGGGCAAATATGGACCAAGCCCGATAAAATTTTGTGAATATATTTATATTGACATAATATTTTATTGTGCTGAATTTCATCGCGATATTTGTGTTTATAAGCTAATTTGGGACATTCAAGTAATTTTCTAAAGGGGACTTTGTATGGGAGCTAGGGTCAAATGTGGGCCGATCTTTATGAAATTTGGCAGGGTCATCAATACTTCTATAAAACTTAGTTGTGCCGTATTTTATCGATATATCTGTATATTTAACATAATTATGAGCTCAGAAGCCCTTTTCGGGGGGTCCTGTTCTATGGGGGCTAGGTGAAATAATGGACCGATTTTAACCATTTTCAATAGGCTTCGTCCTTAGGTCAAATAAAACGTGCGTGCCAAATTTCATCCAATTATCTTGAAAATTGCGACCTGTACCTTGCGCACAAGGTTTACATGGACAGCCAGCCAGCCAGCCGGACGGACATAGCTTAATCGACTCAGAAAACGATTCTAAGCCGATTGGTATACTTTAAGGTGGGTCTAGGACGAATATTTTGGTATGTTACAAACATCAGCACAAATCCAATATACCCTCCCCACTAAAGTGGTGTAGGGTATAAAAATTATGGTTTCTTTATTATTTTTGTCACTGCAATAATAAACAGTAATAGACATTTATTAAATAAATAAAAGAATCAGTATTCTTTACAATTACTCTGTTTGCAAATAATTTATATAATCACTTCATTTGTTTATTTAGGTTTTTTTTTTCTATAACAATAATATCAGTTTAAGAACAGTCATCCGATAACCGAGAGATGGATACACATTAGAAGCTAAGTAATTTAGTTACTAATATAAAGCTGTTTATTCAAATTTGTATTATGCAATTATTTTGTGAGCAAAATATTATGGGTCATTGGATTCTATTCTAAATGTTATAACTTGAAATAAAATCAAATTATTAGTAGATTTACATATGTTTAAAAAGAATGTATGTATATGTATAACAGTATTTTTAATTTAAAAACTTGAATGCATTTAATTTTATGAATATTATTTTCTTTATTTTGGAAAATAGTGTTCGAAATAGTCTAATTTATAATAGCTTGTTTATCTGGCTTTAGATGTTTGTATCTACAAATAATTGTCTGTATATTCATATGGACAATTTGTATATCGTAGATATTAGTTTTTTTCTTTAATATACATTGAAACCTTATCATTTCTCATCTAACTATATAGAGGAGAATCTATTGGAATAGCAACAGCAGCAGCAGTAACAAAAACAATAATAATAATAAAAATTGTTGTTAAAAGTAAGAAGAGATCCAGTCGTCAGAAAGTGTTTATTTTTTATATTTTATTTGTTTTTATTATTATTCGTTTTATTTTTTATTTCATTTACTTTTTTGCATTATGATAAAGATAAGATATTTTTTTATTTATTTATATTAGACAAATATTCAAACATTTATGCATATAAACATACATATTGTTAGGTAAGAGTGTAAAAGTGTTAACGTGTTTTTTGTAATATTCTCATAAGGAAACAAATGCTATAGAATCATTTAAATAGCTTTCTCTTGAAAATTTAATATCAAAAATATTTTCAAGTCGTCATACCGTTTGAAACACATTGGTCTTAGACCTAAAAAATTACATATTTATATACAATCTGGACAAACGCGGTCTGTATGTCAAAGAATTTTTCATAACTATTGATAAGTTTATTATTAATTATGGATAATATCGGTACAAATTAGTTGATTTGGTAGTAATAATGATGAAACAAGTTAGCTTTTGGTAACCCGAAATTATATGGTAAAGTTAAGCCGATATGCCACCCAATCGTAGGATAGGTTCATAATTGGTCTTACTCTTAATAACACCAGTATAAAACGGCGTCATAAAGTCTCTAAAAAGCTTTATGACATCGGTCCTTTGATCTATGCCCTTATTAAATATTCTTTTCCTAAAATTCAGAAGAAATTGTGCTAGTAACAACAAAATGTAAATTGTGCTAGTAACAACAAAATGTTAGGTTCGTAAAGATCTAGTTTCCGAAACTTTGAAATTACGGCAGATGTTTTAATGATGGTTATAACTCTTACTTTTTAGTTTTGGTAGATATTTTATAATAATTTATTTATTAAATAATTTTATCAAAAAGCGTACTTAACACTTTTGCTATCTAAACGATTGTATATTTGTATGTAAAATGCTAAATTTTTGTTTCACTTGCAAAATTGTTATTATTGTTCATTTTCATATGATTGTTAAAAATTTATAAATGGAACAAATAGGAAGAGTATTTTTAGGGTTCTAATTAGAAAAATAAATATAAGAATATATTATACATCAAGTACTTGTTAATAAAAATTATATAAAATTTTTAAAATAGAATTATTGTTAACAATTTTGTTAAATAAATAAGATCACAGCTGAAAACAAAGATGCACTCGTAAAGACTAGAACACATCAAAATTTTTAGTAAGAAAAGAATTTATTAAAATTTGTTGATAATGAGGAGCCACATTAATCCCTATTCCGAAATCTAATATTAGATTCAAACAGCACTTAAGCAATTAATAATTCGGTATAATAAGCGAAATGCGGTTATAAATTGCGAGAAGAGCAGATGATTTTATTACGTTTGTATAATAAAAAATGGAGATCAGCGATCGATCACGCTTACAGAAGGTGTAACTTTCATAAGTTCTTCATTTCATAATCAAAATCATATATTTTTTTTTGTTGCATGAAGAAAAATATATTGATTCAATTGCCATGATCTTCTATAACATTTCTTTTTTTATTTTAATGCCATTGCCATAAATTATATATAAAAACGATTATAATTGCACCACATAAAAAGTTTTTTTTGTCTATAGTACTACTTATAAAGCCAATTAATATTATTAATTAGATATTGTTATCATAATAATTGTTTAGTTAATATTAATCATGAACCATAAGTCCGATCATAGATAAATGTAAATAAGTGTCAAAACACGTGCAATTTTTAATTACTGACGTTTTATTATTGTCGTTTAAATAATAATTAAAAAAAACTTTTTTTGCACGTCGAAGTTAAAATTTCAACCAACTCAGTTATAATTTCGCAACTTATATTGAAAATTTTGATTACTTTATATCACTTTAATAGTGTCTCTCAACAGGGCGGTATTATATTTTAAGGATCTTACAAGACACTTCTCGATATACATTCTTGAGTTATTCATTCTTTTATTTTCATATCTCGAAATATAATTTTTGAAAAATATTTTCAAGGTTTTTATTTCTGAGACCACATTTTCTGTCCGAAATTAATAATATTTGGGCTGTCAATATTCCTTATACTACCGACTTAATACACACATCACCATAATTATTGATAATTTTGAATAGGAAGCCAAATCAGTATAGGTACTTTGCTTTAGGATTTTCAAACATTCTGTACAAAATCGGTTTTGAACGAACCAATTAAAAATATTTTGCAAATAAAATAAATGTTTTTTTAAGGTCCCAATAATTAAAGATTATCCATTTCTTTTTTAAATTAATCCGATATTTCGTTGGTATATTTCCAACATCTTCAGAAATTTATATTAAAGCTTAGTTATCCATTAATTATAATTCTTTCATTGTTGAATGTAGTTATTAAAAATTTTGATAAAAATATAATAATTGAATCTGCTGCAATAATAGATTCCTGGAAATTTCAATTAGTAATGATACCATTTTTATTAAGAAAAATTTCATTTAATATTCAATTTGTTCATTTATTTTCCAGATGTTCAAAAATGAATACCTAAATAAATACATATACTTTTCTATTTGTTGTTATTTTTACAGAAATTAAGGCAATATTTTATTTACAAAGTATATAAACAATAGGTCCTTTCTTTAATGCATAATGTAAAAAAAGAGTTAAAAACGAAATTACATTTATTATAAAACAAGTAGTATCCGGTCCACGTTTCAGGCCCTTGATTGCATATGAGGACTATATACTTAAAGATCTATATACCCCTCAAATTTTTAAATAATCGGTTTAGCGGACCATATGTAATTGACTTAAAATAAAGACTTCGACGCCATCTGTCGGACAAATTTAAAACTTTACAGGAACACTTCTCATAGTTCCTGATTTATCGATTAGGTAAAAACATTACTATTTACTTACTTTCCTAGATAGATAGATAATAGATAGAGGAAGATAGACAGATAGATAGATAGATAGATAGATAGATAGATAGTAGATAGATAGATCGGATTAGATAGAATAGATAGATAGATAGATAGATAGAGATAGATAGATAGATAGATAGATACGATAGATAGGCAGATCGATCTAGATAGATAGATAGAATAGATACGATAGATAGATAGATATAGATAGATAGATAGATAGATATAGATATATATAGATAGATCGAAATATATAGATATATAGATAGCTCGGATGAGCTAATCGATAGATGATAGATGATAGGAAATCTGTCGCTAGATGATAGATAGCTAGATAGCTAGCTCGCTCGCTCGCTCGCTCGCTCGCTCGCTCGCTCGCTCGCTCGCTCGCTCGCTCGCTCGCTCGCTCGCTCGCTCGCTCGCTCGCTCGCTCGCTCGCTCGCTCGCTCGCTCGCTGCTCGCTCGCTCTCCTCGCTCGCTCGCTCGCTCGCTCGCTCTCTCGCTCTCTCGCTCTCTCTCTCGCTCGCTCGCTCGCTCGCTCGCTCGCTCGCTCGCTCGCTCGCTCGCTCGCTCGCTCGCTCGCTCGCTCTCTCGCTCGCTCTCGCTCGCTCGCTCTCTCGCTCCTGCTCGCTCTCTCGCTCGCTCGCTCGCTCGCTCGCTCTCGCTCGCTCGCTCGCTCGCTCGCTCGCTCTCCTCGCTCGCTCGCTCGCTCGCTCTCTCGCTCGCTCGCTCGCTCGCTGCTCGCTCCTCGCTCGCTCGCTCGCTCGCTCGCTCGCTCGCTCGCTCGCTCGCTCGCTCGCTCGCTCGCTCGCTCGCTCGCTCGCTCGCTCGCTCGCTCTCTCGCTCTCTCGCTCGCTCGCCTCTCTCGCTCGCTCGCTCGCTCGCTCGTCGCTCGCTCCGCTCTGCTCGCTCTCTCGCTCGGCTCCTCGTCCCTCTCTCTCATCGCTCGGCTCGTTCTAGATAAGATGATAGATAGATAGATGATAGATAGATAGATAGATAGATAGATAGATAGATATATAGTAATGATGTCGTAGGAAGGACAACAATTTATATAAAAGATGTTTCCCTAAAGCAGTTAGAAGTTCGTATGAAAAAATTAATTCGTTTTTAATGATTTCGTTAAACTTTCAACAAATTTTTTTTGTTAAGCTTTTTGTAAAACTTCGAATATTGGTCTTAGAACCATATTCAGACTTTTAATCCATCGGATCTAATTGTCCTCTAGCCCCGTTGAAAATTAACAATTGTCATGAAATTTAAAGTAAACTGAGAAAATTTAACAAAATCTAAAATCTTAAATCCAAAATTTTGATGAGGATCCGTCACTATTTGACCCTTCCTCCATGTAACTCCTCTGTCAGAAAATCAGTTTATTGAAATATAAATCAAACTACATTTTAAACATACTAACAACAATATGATCCGCCATGTCCGTTTTTCCTACTTTTTCTTTTTAACAAATTTTACTACAAACTCAAATGAATCGCTGCATCCTAATTTTGGAATCACTTCGCCTTTATCCAATATAAATTGTATTAAAGAAATCTTTAAAAAATATTATCACTCACCTTCTTTACACCTCTAAAGGCATACACATACAATTCCCTGCCAAAATTGAAACATATACGATCGCCACCCAAAACTTGACTGGCAGACAAGCCATTCTGATCTAAACCTCCAACACCAGACCCATTCATCATTGTATGCATGGACATGCCAGCACCCAAACGTGCATCCATCGACGAGGGCACCACATATTGTGATTGTTGGCCATTTAGAGAGGACGAAGATTGCACATCATAACCAGCGCCACCACCATCGCCGCCAGCTCCATTGGAAGCATTTTGCGAATTATTGCCATTGGTTAGAGGGCGGCTGTGACTACTGCTGCCAGCACCATTTGAACCATTTGTCGCTGATGAGTTATTTGTGCCTGAGTTGGAGGAGGAGTTGTTACCAGTAGCCGTCGGTGGATTCGGCAGGGTAACAATGGAGACACGTACTTGTGGGGAACTTTGATTGTTGGTGTAACCCACGCGATTGGGTCGTGAATACTCCGAGAGTGTGAGTAATCTGTAGGTACCCTCACGCGTTACAAATTGTGTCTTTAGGTCATCCTTGACATTGGGATCAAGTTGCGTTGCCATTACGGCAACTTTAATTAATAAATATTGACGTTGTTGTTATTGTTTTACTTTTTGCGTTATTTTTTTTTTCTTTTTTCTATTTATATTATTGTTATTATTTTCAAACTATTTCGGTGTTGGTTGTTGTTTTTGTATGTATGGTTTGCATGTAGATCAAAAAGTGGCTAATAATGAATTGTTGTTGTTGGTTGGTCGTTTTAGTTGTTTTTTGTTTGTTTGTTGTATGGCTTTCGTTTCGTTTTTTATTATTTTTTCTTAAAGGGAGTTGGCTTTTTTTTTTCCTTTGAGGTTGTGTGTTGTTATTTTTTGTGTATTTTATTTGTTTTGTTTCACATTTATAACTCTTATTTTAATTATATTTGAAATAATTCCACTTTGACAAATTACACATTTTATTTATTTTGTGGTATAAATAATAAATAAATTAAAGAAATTGCACATTTTCGCATACACGCACAACATACACACACACACATAACACACTAGCACGTATATTTTTACACAATCCCCTCTGCCTCCTCTTATTTACAATGAAAATGTTTGTTGGAAGGCGATGATGGATGGTTGGATGGAGGAGAAAAGAAAACTATATGCACACATGACCAAAGGAATCTTTTGCTGGTGTATTTATTTTTCTCATATGTGTTTTTTTATTGACAAGTGGGTGTGGAAATTCTATTCTTTGCGTAATTTTTTTCTTTTACAAAAACAATATTTTCTTATTTTCACATTCAAATAGATTATTTTTCTCCAAATTCCTTCACTTTGCTGCAAAAGAAAACTGGACTCCTTTTGCGAAATTACAATACAAAATTTTCTACACTTTGCTTTTGACGATTTTTTTCTATTTTTACATTTTTTTCTTCGTTCGTTCGGACGTCGAAGAAAAAAATGATTTTTTAATTTGACACACACACTCAACTTTGTTTTTCTTCAATTCATATTTTTTCTAGTATTCCGGTTTTTCAATTTGTTTTGTTTTAATAAATAAATTTTTCCGTTGTTGTTCTTTGTAATTTTCTTCAATTATTTAATTTATTATGTATTTTTTCCATTTCATCAAATCGCATTTGAAATTTACGTACTATTCCTTCAAAAATATCGCAGCACTTTTTTCCATCAAATAAAAAATTTTCTATTGTTTCTTTTAGTTTTTACTTTCATTCTAATTTTTTCTTTTCTTATTTATCAGCTGTCAATGAGGAGACGAAAAGAAAATAAACGATAGCCGAATTTACCACAGAGTTGTATTTTTAGGGAATGTTAACCAAGGGATAGTGTTCGAAGTATTACTATTTTAAATTCCGATTTTTTTAGGCATTCGATTAAAATTTTTACAGTAGATAAAAGTGGGCGGGTCCACTGCATTAACCACAACTTATTTTTTAATTTAATGTTTTTAATAAATTTATAAAATCTTCAAAACAAAACATACGGTTACTACGTGTTTGTTATATTTTTAGAAAGAATTCTCGAATAGTTAGTTAGTAGTTTAACTTTCTTTTTAAATAAGAATCGTATAAAACATCAACTACAACAACAAACTTTTTTTTGTCAATTTTCAATTCATTTCTTAATTTTACACTTTTCGTGGTGAATTTAACAGAAACTCATAACTAGGGTTCTATAGTTGAAACGAAAAGTCGACTTTTCGACTTTTTGCATTTAGTTAAAAGTCGACTTTTCGACCTTTCGACTTTTTCCATTTTATGAAAAGTCGATTTTTCGACTTTTCGACCTTTTTATTTAAAAGTCGACTTTTAGACTTTTCGACTTTTAGTATTTTATAAATGGTCGACTTTTCGACCTTTCGACTTTTCGACTTTTTCCGACTTTTTTCGACTTTTCGACTTTTTCCGACTTTTTTCGACTTTTCGACTTTTTCCTACTTTTTCCGACTTTTCGACTTTTTTCGACTTTTCGACTTTTTTCGACTTTTCGACTTTTTTCGAATTTTTCCGACTTTTCGACTTTTTCCGACTTTTCGACTTTTCGATTTTTTACGACTTTTTGACTATTTTCGACTTATTTCGACTTTTTTTCGACTTTTTTCGACTATTTTTTTACTTTTTTCGAGTTTTTTCCGACTATTTTAGAGTTTTTGATCACTTTTCCACTTTTTTAAAATTTTCGACTATTTCCGACTTTTCGACTTTTTTCGACTTTTCGACTTTTTCCGACTTTTCGACTTTTTCCGACTTTTCGACTTTTCGACTTTCTTCGACTTTTTTCGACTTATCGACTTTTTTCGACTTTTTTGGAACAAAATAGTCGACTTCGACTTTTCGACTTTTTTCGACAAAAAGTCGATTGTTCGATTATTCGAAAGTCGATTTATAGAACCCTACTCATAACTCTTTAAATCAAACCCACCACACTTAAGTGGGGTGAGTTTCAAGAAAGTGTTGAATAAAAACCTATTTATCACAAAAAGCGTAATTCGATTAAAAACTGTATTATCGATCAAAAAGTTATACAGACAAAATTACCGCCGTAACGACAAAACCGTATTAACCTTGATTATAATGAATATCGATAAAACGGTTCAACATATGGTGCATGGATACGCTAACAACTACTTAAGTCAACTCATTGACCATTAACCAAGTTGCCAAAAATTACGTTACCAACGAAATTTATTTGACAGATTTCTTGCTAAACGATAAGCCACATTGGAAAAAAATTGTTTAACTTTTTAAAATTTTGCAGAATTGAACGAGCACACTTATTTTATTAATTTAATTTTATTATGATATGTTCGTCGTCTGGCATTCAACAAATCGCACACACAAATCCAACGTGTATGGCCAGCTTTAAAAATAAAACGTTTTTCATTCGTTTAAAACAAATTTTGAATAGATACCACCCATTTTTTATTAAAAAAAATCCGCAGTGTTATTTAGGTTTATATAAAACTTAGTTGGAGAGATAGTAGTGTATTTGACGTAGTTATGAGTTAAAAAGCTCAAATCGAAAGGTCCAGTCGTATGGTGACTATGTGAAATAATTGATTTATTTCAACACTTTTCAATAGGCTTTGTCTTTGTGCCAAAAAACACGTATTGTCCAAATTTTATCAAAATATCTGGAAAATTGCGACCTGTACCTTGCGCACAATGTTTACATGGACGACCAGCCAGCCGGACGGACAGACGATTTACAAACATTAGCGTAACAAACATCAGGACAAACAGATAATACCCTCCCCACTATAGCGGTGTAGGGTATAAAAATGAATATAGCACTCTAACTTGTTAATTTATTTAATTTAACTCGACAAGAAACTTTTTTGACTGTTGTTTAAATTACATTGACATCTCTGTCACGCATAATACAGATTTAAATTGACATTTTTGGTGAATGATATTGACATTGCAATGTGCGTGAGTTTCCAGACAATACGAGTGAGTGTCCTTTAAAATATTTTGAGTTGTTTTTTGGTAGACATTAAATAAGAGTTTTGTATAGAAAGGTTATAAAATAAACTTAACTTTTTTTGCCGGAATAATCATCTATTGAGAATTCTTTCCAATTATATAAAAACCACCAAGCTTGTGAGTATGTATGTTTGGTTTGTCAATAAGGAATTTTCTATTTTGAAATTTTTTTCTTCATTTTATTTTTGTTTGTTTGTTGCATTTAATCCCCAAACAATTGCATTGGTATTTTTTTCTGTCATTCTCATTGTGTACTTATCACACACCAAATGTTCATATCACTTGACCTGTTTGCTGTTCCTCTTGCTCCTGTACATAAACTCTTGTCCTGTTTATTGTACACCAGTGTAATGTTCCTTGAATGGGTTTTTGTTTGTGTTGCTTTCATACACTATTACTAACTCATACATTTTATTGTCTTTCGTTCTTGTCGCTCGTACTTTTTATATTTTTTTCTGGATTTCTTTTTTTCTATTGTTAGTTTTCCATCCTTTTTTTTTAAATTACACATTTTCAATTGTATCCTTTTGACATTATTCAGAAATAAACTGAAATTATTGTATAGAAATACTAAACCCTCCAGTAAAGCGTTGTGAATGTTTTTGCGATAGAGTAAATTCCAAGAAAATATAGCTTACATCTTTGAAGGAAATGAAGCAAACTCGTTTACAAAATGCCACAGTGCACTTGCAATAAACAAAATTTAAAATTTTATATGACATAAATCCGATAGTTTTACAAGGAGTCAATATGACCCTTTTACTTCGCAGTTATTAAACAAGTAAGAAAGTATAGTCGGGCGTGGCCGACCATATGATACCCTACACCAGTTATGAATATTAAATGTGATTTATTTTTCATAATATCGCATTTATCTTCAATATTCCCTTGTTCCGATACATTTAAGCAATTTATGGATGAAAAACTAATTTTCTGAAAGAGGCTTTATATGGGGGCTAGGGGCAAATATGGACCAAGCCCGATAAAATTTTGTGAATATATTTATATTTACATAATATTTTATTGTGCTGAATTTCATCGCGATATTTGTGTTTATAAGTTAATTTGGGACATTCAAGTAATTTTCTGAAGGGGACTTTGTATGGGAGCTAGGGTCAAATGGGGCCCGATCTTTATGAAATTTGGCAGGGTTATCAAGACTTCTATAAAACTTAGTTATGCCGTATTTTATCGATATATCTGTATATTTAACATAATTATGAGCTCAGAAGCCCTTTTCGGGGGGTTCTGTTCTATGGGGGCTAGGTGAAATAATGGACCGATTTTAACCATTTTCAATAGGCTTCGTCCTTGGGTCAAATAAAACGTGCGTGCCAAATTTCATCCAATTATCTTAATCGACTCAGAAAACGATTCTAAGCCGATTGGTATACTTTAAGGTGGGTCTAGGACGAATATTTTTATATGTTACAAACATCAGCACAAATCCAATATACCCTCCCCACTAAAGTGGTGTAGGGTATAAAAAACGAAATGAAATGGACTTGGCAGAATGGGTTAAATGTTTAAAATGTTTTGTTACATATGTATGTAACTAGTTATCAAATACATCTACATATAATTAATGAGAAATAAAATCTTCAGATTGGAGCAAACATCCCGAACTGAATGGAAAAGCTGTTCAGTTGCGTACACAGAAAATAAGATACGATACATGTATTTGTAGTTAAAGTTCGACGGAACCGTTCACTTGAAAAGCAACTTCGCAAAATTTCTAAATCGAATTAGAATTACTCCTAACTGTGATCTAACAGTCTTTACAAAAATTGCCTTAAGTTTGAGTTGCAAACTAATAAAATAGTTTATTTTAATGATAAACTATTCTTAGCTTCTATTATGTCTAATGTCCAAGAGTAAAAAAAAAATTGCAATTGGTTTATTTCATAGTTATACTTGAGTATTGTGAAAAAAGTTAGCAGTAAAAAAGCAGAAAAATGTAGCACTATTGTTAATATTCCTTAGAGTAAATGTTTAACTTCTCAGCCAAGTTACTCTAAAAATAATATGGAAACTTTTAAGGAATTAACTTATTTCAAAATAGTTTTAAGGAAAAAGTGTCAATTGCTCACATTAAAATATATTTTTATCTTAATTTTTATATGCAATCAAAAACAAAACAAAGCGAAAAGTGGACTTTTTATCTTACTACTCAAAAAATTAATTTTTTGATTACAAACTTCGATTGTTTTTGTCCTATCTCTTATAGTTTCCGAGAAAAAGGGAATTTTGAGAAAAATTTAGTTTTTTTTCATCCAGTTCAGTTCTAGTTCAGTTCTAGTTCAGTTCTACTTCAGTTCTAGTTCAGTTCTAGTTCTAGTTCAGTTCTAGTTCAGTTCTAGTTCAGTCTAGTTCAGTTCTAGTTCAGTTCTAGTTCAGTTCTAGTTCAGTTCTAGTTCAGTTCTAGTTCAGTTCTAGTTCAGTTCTAGTTCAGTTCTAGTTCAGTTCTAGTTCAGTTCTAGTTCAGTTCTAGTTCAGTTCTAGTTCAGTTCTAGTTCAGTTCTAGTTCAGTCTAGTTCAGTTCTAGTTCAGTTCTAGTTCAGTTCTAGTTCAGTTCTAGTTCAGTTCTAGTTCAGTTCTAGTTCAGTTCTAGTTCAGTTCTAGTTCAGTTCTAGTTCAGTTCTAGTTCAGTTCTAGTTCAGTTCTAGTCAGTTCTAGTTCAGTTCTAGTTCAGTTCTAGTTCAGTTCTAGTTCAGTTCTAGTTCAGTTCTAGTTCAGTTCTAGTTCAGTTCTAGTTCAGTTCTAGTTCAGTTCTAGTTCAGTTCTAGTTCAGTTCTAGTTCAGTTCTAGTTCAGTTCTAGTTCAGTTCTAGTTCAGTTCTAGTTCAGTTCTAGTTCAGTTCTAGTTCAGTTCTAGTTCAGTTCTAGTTCAGTTCTAGTTCAGTTCTAGTTCAGTTTCTAGTTCAGTTCTAGTTCAGTTCTAGTTCAGTTCTAGTTCAGTTCTAGTTCAGTTCTAGTTCAGTTCTAGTTCAGTTCTAGTTCAGTTCTAGTTCAGTTCTAGTTCAGTTCTAGTTCAGTTCTAGTTCAGTTCTAGTTCAGTTCTAGTTCAGTTCTAGTTCAGTTCTAGTTCAGTTCTAGTTCAGTTCTAGTTCTAGTTCAGTTCTAGTTCAGTTCTAGTTCAGTTCTAGTTCAGTTCTAGTTCAGTTCTAGTTCAGTTCTAGTTCAGTTCTAGTTCAGTTCTAGTTCAGTTCTAGTTCAGTTCTAGTTCAGTTCTAGTTCAGTTCTAGTTCAGTTCTAGTTCAGTTCTAGTTCAGTTCTAGTTCAGTTCTAGTTCAGTTCTAGTTCAGTTCTAGTTCAGTTCTAGTTCAGTTCTAGTTCAGTTCTAGTTCAGTTCAGTTCTAGTTCAGTTCTAGTTCAGTTCTAGTTCAGTTCTAGTTCAGTTCTAGTTCAGTTCTAGTTCAGTTCTAGTTCAGTTCTAGTTCAGTTCTAGTTCAGTTCTAGTTCAATTCACTTCACTTTACATTACTTCAGTTCAGTTCTAGTTCAGTTCTAGTTCATTTTTAGTTTAGTTGTAGTTCAGCTTTTGTTCAGTTCTAGTTCATTTCTTGTTGAGTTCTATTTCATTTGAGTTCTGTAGACGTTCTGCTGAAATCCATCATTAAAATACTTCAATTTCTTTCATGTTTAAAGGAAATTTTTTTAAAAATTTATTAAAAACATTAAATCACAATAACAAACTATATTTTGTTATTTCCAACAATAATGGATGAACCAGCTATACATTCCTGTTCAAAATCAGGACAACTGGGAGGCATGACTGGCTCTTCCCATCTCCATACGGTATATGGCACACAGGATTTTATACTAGCCTGAAAGCCATATTGATTTGGACAACGTTCCGAAATAGCTTGATTGTTTATGGCATAACAATGCCAGTAACGTGATGAGTCGAAAAAGTTTGGAAATGTCAAACCAACTTCACCGAGAGTCTTACAGCCGGGTCTACCATTAAAGCTGGTGTTTTCAATGTCAGCATTAGCAAGTGCCAAAAAGATGACTATAATAACTGTATAATAGAAAAGAAATTTGAAATAATTATGAGTGTTTTGAAATTTTAAATTTCCTTAAACTTACTTAAGTTTTTCATGATGTCTGACGAAAGTATTGAATCTGATCAAGTTGTAGAAATTGTATGATGATTTTAATCATTTGTTTGATTGATTTATATACAATTTCAATCTTGTTGAGCTTCTTCAGCTATTAATATCTGTTGTTGATAAATGATAATCGATTTTTTTCTATTCACTATCTTTTAAAAGTTAATCATGAACTTGAAAAATGTTAAAGAACTTTTATAAGTTTTCTTCGTTTTTATCTTTCTTTTAAACTTCCCCCAAGTCATTGGAATGCTATCTCACTCAATATCTTTTATGTAAAAAATCGTAAATATGTACTTGCTTTTGGTTAAGGAATTTATATCTTCACAAACCTTAAATGACCAATTTGTTGATAAGGGAATTCAGTTCTTCTCCTCTACTGATGGCTGCACTTGAATTCTGTTGCAATTCGAAGTTAATCAATTTGTATTGATTGTCCATATTTTACTCTACTTTAGGTTTATAGGATTTCGTGTTGGTTGCTTTCTTGGTAAAATTAGATTGAATTATAAGTTCAGTATACAGTTTGCAACAACGAGCACATAACGTCTATCATTGATATTGCCGATCGGTACAGAGCAATAATTGAGCCGATTTATACTCAAATCGAACTATATGGATCTAGATACAAGAATTATTTTCTGCAGAGGTGATCTGAATCTTATATGAAATGTTAAGATTAAAAATATTATCTTAACCACTGCCCCACTATAGAGTACATTGAATTCTGTTTATCCGATTGAAATCATTTATTTTTGTTCTCCCATCTTAAGCATTTATAAAGTGGAATTTCCAATCAACAATAAAGACACACAAACAAAGTAAAAAATACAAAAAAACTAAAGAGAAATCAGCAAAATGCTAACAAATTGGTTGCAACATCAATTTGCTCTGTGTTTAACGAACGAATGAGTGTGTAATCAAAAGATACCGGAAGTAAATTATCAGTGTAGAATCTACTTGATGTTTGTTTCCTTAGTATTTCTTTCTTTGTCTTTATCAAGGTCAAAGGTGTAATTTAAAGGGGACTTTTCAGTATTTTTTATCAGACATCTTTACTTTCAATATTCTTGCTTAAGTAAATATTTATAAATACTGTATAAATATGGCTTACAACAAGCTTTTTTTACTTTGAAATATTTGTTCAACATCATCTAGATAATCTTAAAATCAATGCTAAGATAAAAGAAATCAAAAAAATTAAATTTAATTGGAACTTTGTAAAAAGATAAGAAAAGAATGAAGATTTAGTTTCCATGAAAGCAATTGGAAGTAAATAAAGAAATTAATATTAAATATTGTCAAGTAAACTATTAAAAGCCTTGTAAATTGTGCAATATGAACATTTTTCAAAACAACATCAGCACCTACTATGATATCTTTGGAACTAAATACACAATTTTTATACCCTCCACCACCATCAGTGGTGATAGAGGGTATATATAACTTTGTCATTCCGTGTGTAACACCAAGAAATATTCATCTGAGACCCAACAAAGTATATATATTCTGGGTCCTTATGAAATTCTGAGTCGATTTAGCTATGTCCGTCTGTCCGTCCGTCCGTCTGTCTGTCTGTCTGTGTAAAACACGCTCACGTTAAAACGAAGCAATATAATTTAACCAAATTCACCCAAAACATTCATTATTATCCGGTACAGTTTGGTATTGAAAATGAGCAAAATCGGTTCACATTGGGAAAAGTTATGAATCAAAATTTAAAACAACCTCGAAAAAAATAAGCATTTTTTACACATTCTGATGTAATTTTCTCGAAAACTATGCAAGATAATTTCATGAAAGTCATCATACATTCGTTTCTACACAAGATATTTATTTCTGCTGAAAATTGCCAGCATCGGTGCATAATTTTATATACCTCCCATACAAAAGTGCATATTCCCGGAAAATTAGTTTTTGTTATTGCTCATATGCACAGAAATATTACTGTGAAAGTTTTTTCCGATCGGTCCATAATTGGTCATAGCTCCCATACAAGGACCCTTCTCGAAAATCACTTAAACACACATAACTCATTACTAAATTAAAATATCCATATAAAGTTTGGTACAAGTATTGCTCTCACATATAGAAATATTACTATGGAATTTTTTTCCGATCGGTCCATAATTGGTCATAGCTCCCATACAAGGTCCCCTTCCGAAAATCACTTAAACGCACATAACTCATTACTAAATTAAGATATCCATATAAAATTTGGTACAAGTATTGTTCACATATACAAAAATATTATTATGGAAGTTTTTTTTCGGATCGGTCCATAATTGGTCATAGCTCCCATACAAGGTCCCCTGCCGAAAATCACTTAAACGCACATAACTCATTACAAAATATTGATATATAAACATTTAGCACAAATATTGCACAAATATTGGTCCTATACATGTTTCCCTTCAGAAAATCACATAAATACTCATAACTTATTACAAAATTAAATAAATCTTGGGATTTTTTCTATTTAAGACATGAGAAAACTTATTTCTACAAATATTTGATCAATTAGAAAAGTATTAATATAAAAGTAGCTGGTAGAGGGTATTTAAGATTCGGCTCAGCCGAATATAGCACTCTAACTTGTTAAAGCTACACATTCACTCCGATTTTGTTTCGACTCATTAAAAATCAGTCTAGATCAATTCTAGTTTAGTGCGAGATCGGATAGTTCAGTTCTAGTTCAGTTCTAGTTTAGTTCTAGTTCAGTTCTAGTTCAGTTCTAGTTCAGTTCTAGTTCAGTTCTAGTTCAGTTCTAGTTCAGTTCTAGTTCAGTTCTAGTTCAGTTCTAGTTCAGTTCTAGTTCAGTTCTAGTTCAGTTCTAGTTCAGTTCTAGTTCAGTTCTAGTTCAGTTCTAGTTCAGTTCTAGTTCAGTTCTAGTTCAGTTCTAGTTCAGTTCTAGTTCAGTTCTAGTTCAGTTCTAGTTCAGTTCTAGTTCAGTTCTAGTTCAGTTCTAGTTCAGTTCTAGTTAGTTCTAGTTCAGTTCTAGTTCAGTTCTAGTTCAGTTCTAGTTCAGTTCTAGTTCAGTTCTAGTTCAGTTCTAGTTCAGTTCTAGTTCAGTTCTAGTTCAGTTCTAGTTCAGTTCTAGTTCAGTTCTAGTTCAGTTCTAGTTCAGTTCTAGTTCAGTTCTAGTTCAGTTCTAGTTCAGTTCTAGTTCAGTTCTAGTTCAGTTCTAGTTCAGTTCTAGTTCAGTTCTAGGTTAGTTCTAGTTCAGTTCTAGGTTAGTTCTAGTTCAGTTCTAGTTTGATGTGATTAACATTTGTCAATCGCTTCAAACTTACTGTAACTGTAACTTACTTATATTAAAATTAAAAACATTTCATTTACAATAATAATTTTATTTATTTGCGGATTTATTGATGGAAATCTATTACATCACTTGAATTGTATACCACTCATTTTAAGCATCAGTGGGTGTTTCAGTTGCAGGAACACTTGGTGGTGGCACAGTTGGGGTCCAATACCACAATGAAAAGTGTACACATTGCTTTTCAGGATCTAAGAAACCATAAGCTACTGGACATGATTGCAATACAGCTGGTTGTCCTAGGGTCACGCATTCCCAAAAGACGGTTTTATTTTGAAAATGACGATAATATTTAACAGTTAATTCTTCCATTGTTTGGCAGCCAGGTTCACCATTGTTAACAGGATTAGCGTAAGTCAAGGTGAATAACAAAGCGACAACCAATACAGCAACGAAGGTCTTCATTGTGGGAATGTTGAATAATTTTTAAAATTGTCTTTTTTTTAATACTACTTAGATATAAATGCAATATTCTGATTGGTACTGAAATTCTTTATAAATTTGCAAGATATTTATAGAAAACCAGTTGTAGGTATTCATGATTCTTTAATATAATTTACATGTGGTAGATCGTTATAGATTTCACAGGTGTTCTGATAAGATTATTTTTACAATTATTTATAATAATAACTATGCTTACTTTTACTTTGATAAATCTTTAAAATTTAAAATTTGTAGACTTAACTTACTCACTCCCTGTAATCCATAGCTTTTATATTTTTATGTTTGAAAATCCAACTGAATTTGCCCCTTTTTTCCTGGAATTGAAATTCTAATCTTTAGTATTGCAGTTGTTTACATGGAAACTTTTCAATGTAAATATTTTTTCTTTACATTTTTCTAAATATTGTAAAAGTTTGCTATGTATGTATGTAGTATTTTTTTGTTAAATTTAATTTATTTTACAATTTTATTTGTTTATTTATTTAGTTGCTTTGAGTAGATGATTTTCTTTAACAAATAAACAAGTTGTTTTTATTTTTGGTTGAAATTTATTCGTATTAGCTTAAAAAATAATGAAGAGGGGGAGGAAAAATAATTTATTATAATTTTGTGATGATATTTTTAAAGTTTGCCAATTGTATCATAATGACCTTTTTAGTTAATTTAATATAGATGTTTTGTTTCGCAAATTTTAAACAAAAATTGTAGTATCTAACTGAAATTATCAGAGAAATTGTAGGCTCTACTATTTATTTGTATAGAATTATTATGTTTAAATAGTGTTTATTAAGTAAATATTTTTAAGTGAAACAAATTATAAATTGTTGATTACCATGGTCGACTATATGATACCCTAGCCAACCGTATGGTCTTAAGATAACCTATAAATTCAGTTTATTTAAAAAAAATAATTTAGAAGTTAATTTTTTCGGTCATAAAGTCAAGAGAGATTGATTATCTCTCTTGAAGATTTAAAGTTTAATTGGTCGTAGAGTCCTGCCGACAGACTTCGACCCTGTCAGTGTCTACAAGGAATGGTTGTGAATTATTATGCTTCGTTAACGACAAGATTAGCGACAAAGACCTGTTCGTTGTCGTCTTTTAAATCCTATTAAAGACGAGATGAGCGACTGTGTCTTTAATATATTCTTCTATAAACGATGTCAAAGACATGAAGTAAGACAACGCCTTCAAAATAGTCCTGTATCAAACAGAAATAATGAAAAGATGGGAGACAAGGTCTAGAATAGAGTGTAACTTACTCTGTTGACGACTATATGATCGATAAATTCTTAAGCATTGTCTTCTGGGCTTTTTTTATGAAGACACCATAGAAGACAATGTCTTTAAAATCTTCATCTATATAAGCTATTGAGAGAATAAACTCGTATATACTTCTCTCTATTAATTATATTACTGACAGTTTAAGATAATATGTCTTCAACGATGTCTTTTAAATAACTCTATTGACGACAGTATGATCGACTAATCTTAAATATTTTCTTCTAACAAATACACACGATGATGATATGAGCGACTTGGATGTTGTCTTATATTGGACTATACTGACGGCAAGATGAGCGACATTGTCTTGCAAGTTGTCCCCTATTTAATTCTATTTGATGAGAGTCAATGTTTCTATGCAGTGTGATTGCAAAAAAAATGTAAAATAACGGTAAAATAACTGCCATTTGAAAAAGGGCAAAATAGAAAAGTAAAAACTCATTTGAGTGCGAACAGTTGCATAAGTAAGAGTGTTTTAAAGTGTTTAAAAGTGAAATTAAAAGTGTTATCAAAATATATTTAATTTAATAATAAATACGGAAATGTACTCAAAGCTTTATATGGTGAGTATTTTTAAGACATATTACTACTTGGCAATAAAAAAACATATCTATAACTTTTTAAAATTCATATTTTTTAAACAGAATCCGCAAAAAAAGAGGGATATACCTACGAGGAATTTATAAAAGATTTAAGAGATATCTTTCGTAGAATCAAGAATACTTACAATAAGGAAAAAGCTAGACAATACAATAAAGAAAATTCAAATTCAAATAATTCTCAATAACCCTTTTTATAACAATTAATATGTTTTTAAAAATATATTCAAATGAAATAAATATTGTTTTTGAATTAAATGTGATATTTTAAAATATTTTTATTCAACTTAAAACATTTTTTTTTAAAAAATAAAGTGAACGACAAAGCTTAGGACATTGTCACTCATGTAATCGTTGACGCCAAAGTGAATGATACTATCATCAATATAGTCGTTAATTACAAAGCTGAGGACATTTTCGCCCATATAATCGTTGACGACAAAGTGGACGATATTGTCGCTTATTTAGTCGTTAACGACAAAGCCCATATAATCGTTGACGACAAAGTGGATGATCTTGTCGCCCATATAATCGTTCACGACAAAGTGGATGATATTGTGGCTTATATAGTCGTTGATGATAAAATAGTGGAATTAATCTATATTTTTGGGTGAAGGACAAACTGAGCGACATTGTCTCTCATCTAGTCGTCCACGATTTTCGCGACACTTGTTCGAAAATGTCGTTGACGATTTGTTCCGGCTGTCCTACATTTGTCTTCCAGGACTTTACATTGTCGTGTACCCATCGTTGAGGATGCCTTAAAGACAAGCCCAACTGGGGAAATACATCAGTTTGTTACTGAGCGAAACCTGTAGCTATTACCAGTAAAGTCATCAATAAAAGTCTTATCCACTTGGTGAAGAATTTTAGTGCCGCTTCAGTGTGATCACCTTCGCTTAGTGATACCCAGTGGAAATATATTCAAAGCTGACAAAATGCTGCTCAACTTTAAACGACATTCATAGAGATGCCATCAATACCGCAGTTGCTTCATACCGCATGAATATTAAATAATAGCTGCTGCGGAAAACCAGCAAAATCAAAAGTAGTGCTGGTTCACCTGAAATCGGAATGGATCAATAGGCTTAATGATACCGCATAGAACGTATCTAACCAACAATCAGCTAACCATACTTCACTTTGTCCAATTGATTTATAGACGCTTCCCATAGAACTAGTAAAATTTTTTGGCCTGGACAGTTGTTTTAACTTTTACAACAACAAACACAGGGTGAAAATCTGTTAAGTATGTCTTAATAGATATGGACCTAGATATGGAATAGATTCTTTATATTTAGGATGTTTAATATCATCACAAACCCCTACTACCCTAAGCAAAATAGTAGTGTCTGGTATAATAATCTTATTATCTTTTCTAAAACACTAGATAATATTGACTAGGAAACTTTTGAGTAAATATTTCCAATTTAATATCAAATTTAGCGGACAAAATCATATAAAAGCTCTATACAAATTAAACTAAAGTCAGTTATATTTAATATTCAAATAATATCACATAATATCAAAAACAATATGAAATTCATAATCCTGCTTATGGTAATCTCAGCAATTATTGCATGCTGTCACGTTCAGGCTCAGGGTAATCCTCTATATACTGGACAACCTGGTTGTTTAACAGAAGAAGAGTTGACTGTAGCTCTATATCCAAACTTTCGCAATAAACGTGCCTATTGGAGATGTTCGGTGTTGGGTCAAGCCGCTATTTTAGAATTATGCCCAATTGGTGAAGGTTTTTTGGCAGTCGAAAAAACTTGTGTGCCATGGATCAACTGGTATTGGACACCAACTGTAGCACCTCCAAGTTCACCACTACAAACAATGGAAGAACAACCTTCCAAATAATCCATTTTAATTAGAAATTAGTAAAATCTCTTAATTGCTTGGAAAACATTTTAGATATTGTTTTAAATTAGAGAGAATTGGTTTTGTATTACTATTATTAAATAAATGCACCTGTTATTTTGGAAAAAACTTAAATAAATCTCATAATTTTTCACTTTTACACAAAAAAGCTATTAAAAATTGAGCCAGATAAAATTTATGGCTTTAAAAAAAACATTCTTTAAAGGATGCTAACATAAAACAAAAATCGTCCTCAGCATCCACCCACATAATAATATTACAATGCATTTGTGTAAAAAGTTAAAAGTACCCGTATGTATGTATGTAAGTTTATACATGGACTGCAAAATATATGCCTGTGTGGTTCGAATAATAATGATATTTTTAAGTATGCCTTGCACATTTTGTCTCTGGCCAATATGGTATATTGCACAGTGGGGTAGAATCAATTTAGAAATTAATCTGGCATTCCTGACATGACTGATAGGGATGAAATTTAACCTAGGCGTAGGCTAAGGAGTTTTAGAGTTTATGTTTTGAAAACAGATCAAACAAATACTTTAGAAGTACCGTTGAGGGGGCTTAAAGTAGGGCACCCTAGACCTGTGAAGTTTTTAAACGAGTGCTATTCATGAAAATATGGTTGATTGGGATATTTATTTACAAATTAGTTTAAGTTAAATATGGGTCAAATCCATCCCTTGTTAAAGTTTTATTTTTAAACACTCAACAAATATACACATATGTAAAATGTAAAATCTGGCCCACTGTGGATCGTTATAGTTTGCAGGGTCGACCAAACTAAATAAATAAATAAGATTCATATTTAGGACTACAAGTTGAAAATCTATGCCAAATTCGAAAATACGAAAGTTTTTGTTCTATTTTAGTGTGAAAATCGTGTATTCGATTATTCGACAATTTCTCATCATTCGAATAAAATATTAATTTCTCCTTGATTACTCGAATAATTTTTATTCCAATGACAATCATATTATATACCACAGACATTTCATATGTAAATTAGTTTCAACTTCCCTGTGCTCTCAACGTAATGCTAAATCAACTTATACAAAACTTATAGCCAATCTTCCATCTTTTTCCACTTGCCTTCCTTCCGTGTTAACTCTCGTCTTCCTGAGATATACTATATATATTTATGTACGTGTATTTTCATGTGTCACCTATTTTTTTGGTTGTTTGTATTGTTGCTCTTCTTGGCCAACTATATTGGGGTTTTTTTCGTTTTCTACTATAGTAAACAACATATTTTGAATATAATTCAAGTCTGTGGTATAAATAAACTTG